GCAAGGACGCTACTAGGGGCTCCTGGCCGTACTACTAGTAACAAGAACCCATTAGGGGCTCCTGGAGCAAGGACGCTACTACAGGCTTCTGGCCGTACTACTAGTAACAAGCAGCTACTACGGGCCCCTGGCATCGCTACTCGGAGCAAGGACGCTAGCAGGGCTCCTGGCTGTGCTACTAGGGGCTCCTAGCATCGCTACTAGGAGCAAGGGCGCTACTAGGGGCTCCTGGCCGTACTACTAGCAACAGGAAGCTACTAGGGGCTCCTCACATCGCTACTAGGAGCAAGGACGCTAGTAGGGGCTCCTGGCTGTGCTACTAGCACCAAGAAGCTACTAGGGGCTCCTGGCATCGCTACTAGGAGCTTGGCCGTACTACTAGTAACAAGAAGCTACGCTACTAGGAGCAAGGACGCTACTAGGGGCTCCTGGCCGTGCTACTGGTAACAAAAAGCTACTAGGGGCTCCTGGCATCGCTACTAGGAGCAAGGACGCTAGTAGGGGCTCCTGGCAGTAACACGAAGCTACTAGGGGCTCCTGGCGTCGCTACTAGGAGCAAGGACGCTACTAGGGGTTCCTGGCCGTACTACTACTAACAGGAAGCTACTGGCCGTACTACTAGTAACAAGAAGCTACTGGGGGGCTCCTGGCATCGCTACTAGGAGCAAGGACGCTACTAGGGGCTCCTGGCCGTACTACTAGTAACAAGAAGCTACTAGTTCAAATATGACGCGACAGCGCCATGACTCGACCATGCTCAGGTGATGGACGCCAATCTGCTACTGTTCAAGACGGTCATTGCCGGAGACAGCTGGGGCCAAATCGCAGTTCCTGTCATACAGGAATATCCGCTAACATCAATTATATTTTGCGGCTCCCTTTTTACACTGGTTTTTGGCGTATTGAATTTGATCGTTGCTGTCGCTCGCCTTTGCCTATATAAGCAGAGTTTCTGGAGCCAGTTAATTGTTTACCCAAACAGTGTCCACAATAGAGGGTCCTTTTTATGGTGGGTTCTAGCTTGAGGATCGCGTGTGGATGCGCGACGGTTTTTGCGCGTGCCAGCTCGCGCAAAAGTTTCATCTAGAATTGTGGAATTGCAAGGACGCTGCGCAAGGTCGCACGAAAATGCTCGGATGAAAGACCTCTGCTTTGGAGGTGCGTTGTGCGTTCTTGCTCCAGTGCTGTGCACATTTGCTCGCCTGTGCGCGCGAATTGCTCGGTTGTGGGGGCCCGAAAGGAAGGAAAGGAAAGGAAAGGAAAGGAAAGGAAAGGAAAGGAAAGGAAAGGAAAGGAAAGGAAAGGAAAGGAAAGGAAAGGAAAGGAAAGGAAAGGAAGGAACGAATGAATGAAGCAAATAGCAAGAAGAGATCACCATGTGGAAGAATGTCCACAAAGATGTTATTAACGCCCCACCCCCCACCCCACCCCGCCCACCTCAACAAGAAATATCGCATCGACTCAGTTTGTGTGTGTGCGCAGGGGCGCTGATCTGTGCGCGCAGGTGAGTATGTGGTACCAGGCACAGTTCTGTATTTGTTTAAACCGATGTGTGCGCGTGTGAGTTCATCCTGTGTGTGCAGGCGAATGACTTTTTCAAAAAACATGCTGCTGGTGTGCGCAAGTGAGGCGCCGTCTCATGGCCAGCAGCAGTTTGAGATCTCGAGATTGAGATTCCTTGGCACGAGCAACAACTATGGCACTTCGTGGATCGGAAGGACTAGTTAGTAAGGAGTCGATGTTAGAGATAAGTAGAAAACATGCGTTACTGTAGCCTTGCAGATGCTGTGCCTTGCAGGGATCCTCTTGCTGGATTTTCTTTCGGACCTGGAGAGGCCTCCTAGAAAGAGGTTACATGATCGCGAAGGTCGTATGAATAGATCACACCAGAGACGTCGTCGGCAAAGAAGTAAAGAACATCTGCAAGAAGGCCTCTGCAGAGACCTAATGAGTTATAGGTCTTGTGGCGCAAGGTCAGAAGGGAGGCATCAGACATCCCAATGCTCAGCTTGTCACAGAGATCCTTGAAATGGGGCCTTCCAGAGAGATGATGGCGGATGCCCAGAAATCCCCACACTTCCCCCACCGTTGCGTTGTTCAAGACAAGATCAGCGCTCGTGAACACTTTCTTGCAAGGGGGCTTGAGGCTTGATGTTACTACAGCAGCCAGGGACCAAACAAGGGCGTGGAGTGTGTGTCGTCCTTTGGCAAAGGTTTCCACTAACCCAGCCACGCACCACTGCGCAGGCTGCTTCTTTATCGCGCTTACTTCCGTGAGATACAACTGGCCACAGAGCCCGGTTTGCCGGACCTGGGGCAATCGGTCACCTAAGGAGACCCGGACCGCAAAGTGCCACTGAGCGAGGCCGTCTCTGTGCTCAGCGAAGT